AGGCAGCATTTCCCTGGGATAAAGCCAGAGCAAGGGGAGGGTCAGAGGGAGTTGTTGACTACATACTTACACAGAAGGTTCTCCCCCCCCCCCCATGACTTGGCAAACAAATTATTCAAACGTTGTCGCTCTGCATACACTGCACTATATAAACACAATTTGGAAGAAATTGAATTCCTTTTTTTTATATTAGTGCTAAGAGAACAGTAATGTTTGATTATATATTGTTGTATCGAAACTGAATGGGAGTGCTGGAAAAGTATGTCCAACTGCTAAGCTGGTCCAAGCCTGAAATTCCATTAAAAATCACATATTTGGCAGGCAGGTACAATAGCAGAAAGTTTTATCGTTCTCTCCAAGCGGGGAAAACAGCCAGGATTAACCCACCATTCCCTTCCCAGCATGACTTCTCTCTCACTCTGAAGAAGATTTTAAAAAAGTTGGGGACGGAAGGGGCTTTCAGGCTCTCCCTTCCCAAGCTGTAGTCCCCAGTGTTGAACATGTGCGCAGAGTGCCTTCATTTTTGTCACATTTTGCACCCATGCTCTTAGAATTAAGAATCGGGGCTTCCATTGCACCACCAGCAGCAGTCTCCCAATGAGAACAACAGACGCAGTTTCCGTAGTGATGAGTTCATCTTTCTGCTCTGCCTTCATTGGCTGGCCTCTCTCTTCCCTTTCCTCTGGGCTTGGACTAAAAGCTAAGGAAGTCCTGGAGGGGGCAGCCCAAAGTTGCCGAAGCCCCAAAGCTCTTGGTCAGTCTCTGTCAAAGAAGCAATCAGGAGACAAAAGAGTCATTGGGGCTCTTCATGTGGCTGCAGCAGAGCTCAGAGCGAAGTCTGCTGATTCAGGGAAGGCATTGAGACCAGAAGCAGGGTGAGCTACTGCTGCTCATGTTTCCATGCTGGCACTTAGACATAAGGCACCTAATTGTTGAAATGGTCCTGCAGTGTGGCACTACACAAGGATGTGAATTTCATGGGTGGAGTATAAATTGTGTGACAGTCTGCGAGAAACCCAGAGTGAAGCAGAGGTTATTATTAAACTCCTTGCCTTGCACTCTTGGCTGGTTCCCAGTTAAAACATGCAAAAACTCATCAAAATAATTATAATCATTGGTTGCTTCCACATTAGCTACAATGGCCCTGATCACACGGGCCAGATATTGCGGGGGGGAGGTGTGGCTAATTGCCCCGGCGCAGTTTGATCCGTGATTACGCGATCAGACGCGCCAGCAGCACACCATGGGTACTTCCCTCGGCGCCGGTGGGTAAACGAGGGACCGGAGGGGAATGCCGCACGCCGGCATGATCACACCATGGGCGTCTGGAGGCAGCCCGTGGCAAACGTTTACTAGTACCTTGGAGGTACTAGTTTTTTAACGCGCATTGTTGGCGGTAAGCCACAGGTGCGCTCCACTTCCCAGATGTTGGGGTGTGATCGCGCCCGGATAATCCGCCCACCATCCGTGGCTCTCCCGCGGCAACTTTGCCGTGTGACTGGGGCCATAGTCTATTTTAGCCGACAGTACAGAAGGTATTGGCAGCTTGTTTCATTCTAGTGTTTTTCTGTTTGTTCTCCTTTTGTTTTCTCAGCTGTGATTTCTAGCAGAGATTTTTTGAAACCATGAAATGCAGTTGCAGCATGAAGTTGCCCAGTATTAAAGCCCCATTTGAGGTTCCTCTGGTTGTTGATCCTTTTCATTTTTTTCTCCTACTGCTTCCAGCTTAGTTTAATTCTGTTTTCTTCTAAGCTGAATCACTTGTTCATCACTTGTCCACTTGGTAAGTGGACGGGGGATTAGGTGGGAATTATATACTACTTTCCCCTTTGCAGCCATAGCCATTTCTCATTTTATGATGGAGTTATTATATAAAACTACCATTAAAAATAATGAACAAAGGCCTTCCCTGCAAAATGGAAAGGGGGCCTTAATCCACTCACCCTTAGCCCCCCCTCCAACTAATGATGAACAAGATAATTGAATGCTGTGGCCACAAGAAAAGAAAAACAATAATAATTAGGTTGTAAAACAAAGGAGCAAAAGAAAAATTGCAGGGAGAAACTGAAGCTTTGTTAAAAAGGGCTTCTAAGGCCTAGACATGATAGTATCCCCAGGTCCCTGGCTCTCTTGGTACTGGGGGGGATCAGAACACCTGATTGTGCTGTGCCTCATGACATTTTAAAAACTCTCACTAGGCTTTAAAAGAAGTGGCAGCTTCCACAGGTTAGGCCTGCAGGTGCTCTCCCATCTAGTTCAGCCCTAAGGAAACATACAGTAGAATCTTGTCTGTGTGGTGGGCGCTGCTGGATTTTTATGGGAAGTATTTTCAAACGGATGTTACCTGCCCCTTTATACACTGAGAAATTCTTCAGTTCTCATTATTAAAATCTAAACGATCTGTTTGAGTAACAGCTAGAACAGAATAGTTTGTGTGGATGGGTTGTTTGTCTGTTTGTTTGCCATCAAGATACAGGCAGTTTACAGAGAGGTGAGTGGATTGAGGTCCCCTATTTCAAGGCAAGATACATTCACAGGTCGGCTTGCCATTGCCTGCCTCTGTGGAGCTACACTGGTACTGGGGGGGATCAGAACACCTGATTGTGCTGTGCCTCATGACATTTTAAAAACTCTCACTAGGCTTTAAAAGAAGTGGCAGCTTCCACAGGTTAGGCCTGCAGGTGCTCTCACGTCTAGTTCAGCCCTAAGGAAACATACAGTAGACTCTTGTCTGTGTGGTGGGCACTGCTGGATTTTTATGGGAAGTATTTTCAAGTTGATTATGTTACCTGCCCCTTTACACACTGAGAAATTCTTCAGTTCTCATTATTAAAATCTAAACGATCTGTTTGAGTAACAGCTAGAACAGAATAGTTTGTGTGGATGGGTTGTTTGTCTGTTTGTTCGCCATCAAGATACAGGCAGTTTACAGAGAGGTGAGTGGATTGAGGTCCCCTATTTCAAGGCAAGATACATTCACAGGTCGGCTTGCCATTGCCTGCCTCTGTGGAGCTACACTGGACTTCCTTGGGGGTCTCCCATCCGAATGCTACCCAGGTCCAATCCTCCTTCACTTTTGAGATCTGATGAGGCTGGGGTAGCCTGGGCTGTCCAGGTCTGGGTGTGGATGCGCTATGAGTATTTAAATCCATGTACATAGTAATACAGTAAAGTAGGAGACTTATGGTTAAGAAATCAGGATCATATGGCATTCAGACTTTAAAAGGGTTATCAAAGTGGGGGTTTTTTTGTTGAAAAGGCTAGTAAAACATGTGCATGTGTTATCCTTTACACCGTTCTACAACAAAGAAACACACACATATGGTTTAGTTACCTATAGTTTATGGAACCAGGTGGGTAGCCGTGTTGGTCTGAAGCAGCAGAACAGAGTTTGAGTCCAGCGGCACCCTTAAGACCCAACAAAGTTTTATTCAAGGTATAAGCTTTGGTATGCAAGCACACTTCTTCAGATACCTGTATCCAAAGAAGCATGCTTGTACACAAAAGCTTATAGCTTGAATAAAACTTTGTTGGTCTTAAAGGTGCCGCTGGGCTCAAATGTTGTCCTACTAGTTTTATGGAAGTCCTTGATCAGGCTATTTCAGCAAGCCCCAAATGTGGCGGGGAATATTCCCTCGGTGACTCCTAGCCTGTAGCCGCTCCCATCACATGTCCTCTTCCTGGCTGTGGCAAGAGAAGGAGAAAGGAAGAAGGAAAACTGAATCTCCTGGGAA